TGTATATTTTATAAATTTGATTCTCCTTACTAAAGTCCATTTTATCGGTAGAGGACAAGACTGAAGAGTACTTTTAAGTTCAGTTTTAATTGATTCACCAACAAATTTAATCATTGTATATGGACATTTGTTACAAGAATTGATGTGTCTTTTAAAATGACCAACAACATTTCTTTTACAGAAATTACAAGTCTTATGAGTTTGTAATATATGAGATTTTAGAGCCATGTTATTATCACAGATTATATCACAAACTTTGCACAGTTTCACCTTCATTTTATGTATTACCTTGTAGTGGCGAATCAGGTTGCTTTTTTTGGAGAGCGATGCAAAACAATGTTGACATGTAGTCTTCATTTTTATATATGTAATTAAAAAATAGGTTGGCATCTTCTATATAGTAGAAATTACATTTTGACAATTTCAATTAATGAGAAATAATAATTTGAATTAGAATTTTATATTTTAATATTCAAAACAATTTCATACAATAAGATTTGGCAATTGTAATTTTCTAAATCAAAACTAAATCCAAAATCTTAAATAAAAAATACTTTTTAGCAATTCAGATTGCTGAGTCTACATATATACAGAGTGAGTGTTACCTATTTTAAAGGGGACTTGACAAAATTATATAGTATAATTTGGCTAAGTTTTAAAAAAATAACGTGTACAAACTTTTGACTCAAAGTTCCCCCGTGAGTGAATTTGGCTAAGTTTTTAAATAATAACTTGTGCACACTTTTGACTCAAAGTCCCCCCGTGAGTGAGTTTGGCTAAGTTTTTAAATAATAACTTGTGCACACTTTTGACTCAAAGTTCCCCCCGTGAGTAAATTTGGCTAAGTTTTAAAAAAATAACATGTACAAACTTTTGACTCAAAGTTCCCCCGTGAGTGAATTTGGCTAAGTTTTAAAAAATAACTTGTATATATTTTTGACTCACTTAAAAATAGTAATAACAAAATAAGTTACTTTTTTGGATAGAGAAGCAGCACACAGTTGACATGTAACTAAAAAAACTAAGTTAGCATGTTCTATATGGTGGAAATTACATTTTAGACAATTTCAATTAATGGGAAATAATAATTTAAATCAAAATTTTAAATTTTAATATTCAAAACAATTTAATACAATAAGATTTGGCAATTGTAATTTTCTAAATCAAAACTAAATCCAAAATCTTAAATAAAAATACTTTTTAGCAATTCAGAATACTGAGTCTACATATATACAGAGTGAGTGTTAGTTATAGAGAAGACTATGTTACCTATGTTAAAAGGGACTTGACAAAATTATATAGTGAGTATAATTCGGCTAAGTTTTTTAATAATAACTTGTACACATTTTGACTCAAAGTTCCCCAGTGCATGAAGTTTGGCTAAGTTTTTAAATAATAACTTGTGCAAACTTTTGACTCAAAGTCCCCCTCATGAGTGAATTTGGCTAAGTTTTTTAAAATAGACTTATATACATTTTAAGTTCCTTAGTGACTGTTCAAAATACTCTAAGTGTTTAAAAATAGATTTATATACATTTTTATAAGTTCCTTAGTGACTCAATTCGGCTAAGTTTTTAAAAATGGACTCGGGAAATTAGCTACACTCCTAAGTTAAAAGAAATACAGAGTATGAGTAGCCTACAAGCATCAATTACATCACCAATTGATCCCATGACCCGACACACGACAACATATTACATTAGTCTAGCTTAGATGTCAAAGACTTACCATAACAAGAAGATCCAGGTGGAAGAGTTAGTGATGATTCCGTAGAATGCCCCCCTTATATACCACAAAATTGTCTAAATTAATTTAGAACTTAACAATGGAAATTGAACAAACTGAAATTGAACAATTGAATAATTGAGGTCAATCAATCAAACATATTTGGCAATTGTCTAAACCTGCCCCAGACAGACTGGTGCCAGACAGGCAGAGAATGTTGACAATTGGTTTTGATTGGGGTCATTAGGTTACACTCACAGTCATTCATTTGAGTCAGGCATAGTTTACACATAGCCATAAGCATGCCCGAGTTCACGCACAAACCTCACATGATTTTGAAAATATACATGGGAATGGATGTGGATTTGAAATTTTAATAGAGTTTGAACATTTATATAGGCTTGTATTGGACGAGATCCAGGTCTTTTAAAAAAGTGGCCAAAAAATGAGCCATATTCCAGACGTGATTTTTAGTATTAACAAAAGTAGAAAATTTATATAGGGGTATATAGGTCAAGAGCTGGGTCTTTAAAAAAAGTGGCCAAAAAAAGCTCTTCCATTTTTTTCTCATTTTTCCCCTATAAAAAGTGCCCTAAAAGTGCCTCTAAAACGCCGAAAGTGGGGTCATATTGTCCTATTATATCTACTAGCCACAAGTGTAGCATCTTCAGGAGCAAAGTGTATCACATTACTAAACACAAACACTATCTTACTATTTACAGTTATTTACATTTTTCCGATTTACAGTCCGACCAAGAATGTAAATAATTGTAAATAGTAAAATAGTGTTTGTGCTAAGTAATGTGATAAACTTTGCTCCTGACGTTGAGTGCACTTTTGGCGAATTGTGCATCGAGCAAGAAAACTTTGAGCAAGAAGTCAATTTTCAAGAACCTGGCAACCATAAGGTAATATTATATTACGTTACTAGTCCTGAAAATAGGTGTTCCATACGAGTCCGGTAAACATATTTTGGACGAGTGATGTACGATATTTTGCGCCATACTAATAAATCTGTACAAATCCTTATATATTACCAACGACTAAAGGACTAACAACCACTAGTCATAACCTCTAAGAGAGGTTATGGTTTTGTTTACAACCCCTCATTGTCAAATACAGTATAATCAGCTGGTTAGTGTCTGGTAAAAACTTATTACAGTACGTAATGAAACCCTATTTGATTAAGTTGGCGGCAAACAGCTGTTTTCTGGGCTAAATCATTGTATGGGAAGTTCGTCAAAATAGTGTAGTGTGGCGTAAACCAATTCATTGAGTTTTGCGTAAAGCACAGACGTACTTTTTAGTTACAACTCAATACGAGCTGTCACTTTTTCCACTTGCACAGCTAAAGGAAGAACCATATATTTTTATTTAAATCATTGTCTTGCCCCTATTATTGTATTATGTCAAATAATTACCACCCAAATGTCTAATTCTGCTTCTTTGGGTCCAGACATGATGAGATAGAAAGCGTGTATATGTCTGATACTGTACAATATAGGAAACCAAAAGTAGGCTACAAAAGTAAAAAATAAGACTGTTTTGTAGTCAGAGCAAAACATGCTAACAAAAACCAATGAATTGATGTGACGTTAATAAACGTTATGCAATTAAAGTATTTGAAAAGAGATAAACAAAGAAATCGTCAGTAAATTTCGTCTAATAATCAACAGAAGACGCATCTAGTGTTTATAGGATAAAGAGTTCCAAGTACTGCTTCTTGTAACAATAAACCCTTCAATGGTAATTGGAAAACGTGTACTTCAACTTCTATTTGCTTTGTGATGTTTCTCTAGTTGTACACCAATTAATAATGCTAGTTTCGCTAAATTTTTACGGTATACTTTTCATAGTAGACTCCTTTTATCTATGATAGTAGGTACATTTATATAGTAGAAACTAAGTGTCTTCATGATTATTATCCATGAGATTTAATGGTATTAATAATTTTATGGTAAACTTAGTTATCCATTCGTTGACACTGTCTTTACGCAATCGTCGCGTAAACTACTATTTTCCGAATTATAATCAGACGTGTAATCCAAAATAACTGTTGAAAACTTTTGTACAATTTTTAATTTTGAATGGCATACCAAAATCCAATAAGAGATAATATAAAATCTTGATGAACGAATACTTTCATAGATGCTCATTCACCACCTCTATAAACTCCGACTACAGCTAGTTCGAATATATTGCACGTAGTTTGCAATTTAAGCTCTAGTGCGATTGTAAAAAGGTTGCTAAGGGGCAGAATAAAACTCATTTCGAGAACCATTCCACCAAGAAGTTGTGTTTGATGGATTGAATTTGACAAGGCCTGCTGGAGTAGATTCTTGTCCAGATTCTATTTCAATCGTAATTAATTTTGATGTTCCCACATTTGATATTTCGAAACTTTTTTTATCTGATGAAACCCATTTACAGTTCCAATTTACTTAGTGAATTAGAAAACCATGCTAAAACTTTTCACTCAAGCAGATTACATGTACAGAAAAGATTTTACATTTAACATGGCCGGGCACTTTTCAGAGCCCGGGCTCCGGGGCTCTGGCCCCCCTCCTGTCCCATCCTCTAGCCGTCCCTGTTCAGTGTACAAATCGTGGTCAATCGTTGTAAATATATTTTCCTTATTATAAATTACTAGCTGTACCCGCGGGCTTTGTCCCGTTTAACTTCATAAGTATTCGCATGGCTAATTCACGTCCTGGTTGAAGTTTGTTCGCTACGCTCACTCACCTTTAGGTTGGAGCTCGTTCGCTGCGCTCACTTGCCTTCACGTTAGCTCGTTCGCTACGCTAACTCGCCTCCAGGTTGAAGTTCGTTTGCTACGCTCACTCACCTTTTGGTTGGAAATTAGCTGTTGTCATAAATAAAAAAAAATAATAGTGCTGCACCCTGTTGGTAATCCTTGTAACTTTTATGCTATTGAACATCATAGAACAGAACCAACTTGTTTAATTGAAACAGCTGTTAAGATTCATTAATTCCTTTTAAATATGAAAAATCCTAAGATTAACAAGGGGAACTACAGAGCTACTGGGGCGGAGCCCGAAAGGGTTTTGAGATAAGAATATGCTTTAATGTTAATCGGGAATGTATCATCATGCCAAATTTCAGCCCAATCCGTCCAGTAGTTTATGCGTGATTGAGCAACACACACACAAACTCACAAACTTTCAGATTTATAATATTAGTAAGATTTGTGCTAAAGGGATAAACGTTCATGAAATAAAGAAACATATTATTAGAAAATAAAGTATATTCCATACATAAGCATTTTCTTACAAAAGGTCAATTCTGCGTACATAAATAGTTGAAAATTTCAGAAAATGGAATAACTTGTAAATTCTTATTTATCTCTGCAGTAATATCAATTATCTTATTGGTTGAACATCAGCTGATTCAGCATTTATTGTTGTCATAATGCACCAAGTCCTGGTAGGTAGATGTTTATGTACAAGAATAAACAGTTAAAACACTGAAAAAAGACAGCAAAAAAAAACATGATAAAAGTCATAAAAATTGAAAATGTTTCAACTTGTAAAATTTAATGATATCTTCTTCTTTTGTGTAAACTAAATGTATCCTGCACAAAGTTCTCCTTTTGTTCTTGTAACCTTGAAAGAGTCTGATGGTAGTATCAGAGTTTTACACTCACAGGATAGTCTCAGACGGTGGTTGGTTATATCACAACACCTTCTGTGTCCTTGGTCACATGATTTACTCATGTGGTAGTACGTGATCCTCTCGCTCACAGCCAAGTCTCAGACGGTGGTTGGTTCTATCACAGGCTTCCTTCTGTGTCCTTGGTCACATGATTTACTCATGTGGTAGTACGTGATCCTCCCGCTCACAGGTAAGTCTCAGACGGTGGTTGGTTCTATCACAGGGTTCCTTCTGTGTCCTTGGTCACATGATTTGCTCATGTGGTAGTACGTGAGCCTCCCGCTCACAGTTTAGTCTCAGACGGTGGTTGGATCTGTCACAGGGTTCCTTCTGTGTCCTTGGTCACATGATTTACTCATGTGGTAGTACGTGAGCCTCCCGCTCACAGGTAAGTCTCAGATGGTGGTTGGATCTGTAACAGGGTTCCTTCTGTGTCCTTGGTCACATGATTTACTCATGTGGTAGTACGTGATCCTCCCGCTCACAGGTAAGTCTCAGACGGTGGTTGGTTCTATCACAGGGTTCCTTCTGTATCCTTGGTCACATGATTTGCTCATGTGGTAGTACGTGAGCCTCCCGCTTACAGGTAAGTCTCAGACGGTATTTGGATCTGTCACAGGGTTCCTTCTGTGTCCTTGGTCACATGATTTACTCATGTGGTAGTACGTGAGCCTCCCGCTCACAGGTAAGTCTCAGATGGTGGTTGGATCTGTAAAAGGGTTCCTTCTGTGTCCTTGGTCACATGGTTTACTCATGTGGTAGTACGTGAGCCTCCCACTCACAGGTAAGTCTCAGACGGTGGTTGGTTCTATCACAGGGTTCCTTATGAGTCCTTGGTCACATGATTTACTCATGTGGTAGTACGTGAGCCTCACACTCACAGGTAAGCCTCAGACGGTGGTTGGTTCTATCACAGGGTTCCTTCTGAGTCCTTGATCACATGATTTACTCATGTGGTAGTACGTGAGCCTCACACTCACAGGTAAGCCTCAGACGGTGGTTGGTTCTATCACAGGGTTCCTTCTGAGTCCTTGGTCACATGATTTACTCATGTGGTAGTATGTGAGCCTCCCGCTCACAGGTAAGTCTCAGACGGTGGCAGGCCCTGTCACAGCGGGTGTAGGGTTCGTAGCTGGGTGCCTGTTGTTCGCTGAGGCTGGCTGAGCACGTAGCAGCGCCGATGAGGGCTGTGGTAGGAAGCGTATCCACTCGACGACGTGGCGCTGCGATTCTGAAACCGAAAAAAGCAAACCAAAAGAAACTAAACCGTACAGGACGTTCACAAAAATACCAGATGCAAGAGAAAATTTTTGTTTGTTAGTTAAGTAAGTTTTTTCTGGGAAGATAATGTTTTCGTGTTTTAATTCGTTTGAAAATCATTTTACTTGATTACAAACGTTTCTGAGAACTTCCCAAAGGTAACAAAAAAATCTACTACAAAGAATCAATTCTTGAATACTATTAAATCTATTTTTAATAATTAGTGATTTTTAATTTGTTGTATGTTTAGAATGGTTAGTAATATATATGATTTAATTGCCATACCTAATTTAAATTCGACATACCACCATCTAAATTAGCAGCCCTTCATTTTCTTAACCATATTCCCTATTGGTTAAAAAAGTGTTCCACCAATTAATGATTTATGTTATAACTTAGTGACCCGCTGCTGTAAAATGGGGTTCTCGGTGTTACAGTAGTCATACCACTACATTAACCATGGGCAATTTCAAAGATGTAAGCAAGAAAAACCATGCTTTAATCATCCTACTTGCATTTTCACAATGCTATGTGCGGCTAAGGAATACAGAGACTTCTCCCATAACTTCAACCAAAGGTAGTTTATAATTTTCCTATTATATGCGAGCTTATTTCACCCTTCAAATATAAAATTATGTTGAAAAAATGGGACAGAATTAAGATTTCTATACTGGGTGTAAAGAGTCGTAAAACAATTTATTCTTATATTCGTAGTACTGATAAATAGGAAAGTGGTTGTTTAGCTATACCATGTTGGAAATGCATCTTACTTTTATCCTCTGTCGTGGGCGAGGTCTAGAGATGCCTGTCTGGCAGAAGAGACTCCGGACTGTGCGGCGGAAGTTGCGAGTCATGAAGCAATACAGGAGAGGGTTGATGGCAGAGTTAGCGTGTCCCAGCAGCAGTGTGAAGGGGAACAACTTCATAAGCGTCTCCTGTCAAAGAAAATAAATGCAAAATAGTGAAACAGGTGAGTTAAAAATGACGTAAAAAGAGACTGTTCCTGATCATTTTGTTTAAATAAATTATCCTGAGTAATGAAACAGCTGATCTTAGTCAGTAACAATGCTACACAGATCATCTCACTCCATTCTACACTCATCCTTCACTCATATTTGGGTTAATATACCACATATGACATCAATGTGACATACCCATCTCAATTTTTGGTGTGTTGCCTAATTCAATTCTAACTTAGCCTTATCAATCAGTTGCGTATTTCAAGCAGATTATGAATGCAATAGTGACCTGAGGCAAGCCGACGGTCGGCAACGTCAGATCAAGGTCCAGGAGAAGTGACAGGAGGTTGTAGGGCAGCCAGCAGAGAGCGAACAGAATCGCGAGTAGCAGCAGAATACGCGCCACCCTTCTCCTTTCTCGTACGAGGCGAACCTGGAGAACAGTCAGAATTTCAACAACCAATACACCATACAGTTTTGTTTTGAGAACATCAAAAGAATGTCGTATTCCTGTGTTAAACACCCTCATCCATCTTCAAAGTATTGGAGATGGTTACCTGCTGATTGCTAGCGCTGCCATCGTCCTTATCAAACGGTGGTCGCACCACCCAGAGTTTGCGACCCATCAGTGTGTAGGCCAAGATCACCACACACCCTGGCGTCAGGTAGACCAGCACGAAGCACAACACTCCTAGAAAACAAAGTATTGACTGTGATGTTTCGAAGGTACACAAATAGTAGGTACTTTTGTTAATATAACGACCACGCCTAATAATTATAACCTAACCTAAGGATAGACTCTGTTTTAGGTTAGGTAAACTTAGGAGAAAATGTAGTAAGATTTTGTTATTTAAACTAATCAAAATCTGATTTTGAAATCGATTTCGTTATAGACAGTAACCAAAGTACCTAATAATATATTATTCGAAATCAATTGCTAACCTTGTCACATGTCCAACAGGCTCTCTAAAGTTAATGTTACCCAGTTTCAAGAACTTTCTATTTAGGTTACCTGGTATTTTTATGGATGCCTTGTGTTTTAATAAGTTCACGGATGCACATTTCGCCAGGGTGAGGCATTTTCACAGTTACACTAATATAAAACTTACTTTCTAATATTTACAAAAGTTTGTGAGCCACTTTAGCTAACATAACTACTGTTATAAGCGCGGTACGGGAGATTTACATCTCACTGACAGTGTCAGGGGTGTGAACGGTCTGGGGCGTGGGTTTCCCCAATTGTTGTACCTGTGATGTTGCCAGTTTTACAGTGTTGCCAGATCATCTGGACTCAGTTTTTATTTCATAGTTTGAAAAATAATGTAATTGTTGAAACCTTCTGTAATTTTTATCAGGCTATCAGGTCCAGATTATACCAACATGTAACCGAATCTGGGCCTGATATATTAGAGGAAATAATTTCGTGTTAGGAAATAAAACTTCAAGGTGAAGACAGTCAACCTAGCCTCAGCAAGAGTAGCTCTTTAATTTGAGAATACTTTAGCTGTAATGGAGAACTCTTTGATCATAGTTACCATAGGCCCGCCTGGAGCGGTGAGACCAGTCCTCTATACACCAGGTGAGGCTGTATTTCTTGACAGCAGCTGACAGGAGAGGATCGTCCCCCAGGTCTACCAACTCTGTCTCTCGGACCCACAGCACAGGCAGGAATATAGTCAGAGACACCACCCACAGGAACAGTATCATCTGGGAAACGTTACTGTTAGTTTTTAAAAATCAAGGCAATTGTTTTGCCACTTGTTAGTTAAGCTCAGGGAGTAAAAAAATTGTATCTATTGTGGTACTCGCACACTTAATTCTGTTCAACATTATGAATTTATTCTGTAATCCATGACAAATTCAACAGACACTTGAACAACGTGAGGTCCACAGGTAGAAGAAATTTGAACCATCAATATTTGATAGTGCAATGTCGTCTCCTAGTCATGGAGACACAACCTTAGACCGCTCGGCCTCTGATCAGTCCAAACTGTCCTCCACACTATGTACTATAGCACCGTCTAAGATAATAATTTATAAACTTTCCCACCCAGGCTGTGGGCTGCAGCGAAATGAAAATGGACTCAGAGAGGCTATGCTTAATTTGTTTCATATCTTTTTTCTCCCACAAAATAATAACATAATATAATTAGCTGTGTTTGAAGAACAATGACAGTTTAATTAAATCAGGAGATCCCAACGACTACTATGCACCACCGGTTGGATGATAAATTACTGTTAATTAAGTCCAGTTAACATTCCCTGCTTTAACTCGCTTTAGTTAACATCTGTGCAGGAAATTAAAACTGAACGTAGATATGAATATTCTGCAGAACATGATTGTGGCAAAACGTAATTTAGCGCAGTTGTAGTACAGTATTCATTTATTTTATGTACATTGTTTATTACTGTAATGCTCTTTTTAAGTCCTCTATCAAAATGCATGTTGTCGAAAATAGTAACATGTTTTAAGTTTTGGCAATGATATTTTAATACTTTTTGCCCAAAAGATGTTCGACCAAAACTCATAAGGGTGAATGCGTTTCTGATACCAATCCGGTTACTTAATAAGCCCGTTGGCCACGCAATGTGGTATGAGCTGCGAAGGACATATTTTTAACAAGCATAGCAGGTTCACGGTACAGGACAAACTGCATTGATTATGTCTTCTTGATATAACTAATAAAAGTAAAACTCAAGGCTTATTAGTTTTATCTATTATGGTGCTTGGTGTTGGCATATTCAATTCAACCCAATTTTTTTTTTAATATTAATATATTTTTTAAATCGGATTGACAACGTAGATTTCGAATAGATATTTTAAAACCCGTTTTACAAAGTTTTATTAAGGATATTAAAATTATCAACAAAACATTTTACTTGACAGTTTGGCCACATATTAAATAATATTTTAAAGAAATAAATTAAAGTAATAACAGATAATCTTTAAAAATACTTCTTACAATATTAAAGAAGGCAAATATTGTTCAAGTTGATTTCTACCTTTACTAAGTTTCTTTGTCGAAAAAAAAACAACGGTGAAGGCTGACCTACTGCAGTGCAGACGACACATCTCAGATATTTCCCATGTGAATGACAACAGCTGATCCGATAGTCCTCAAAGATCCTAAATTATTTGTGGTACAAACGTTCAAAACTTGGATTGGATTTCTTAATTGGGTATTGACGTTTGGATCTCTATACACAAAGAGTCCATGTGCAGTTAGATTAATTATTAATAAAAGGGGGACTACTTTTTATTGTATACACTACATTACTATATTTGAAAAAACTTAAAAATTTTAATACTTTTTGCCCAAATGATGTTCGACCAAAACTCATAAGGGTGAATGCGTTTCTGATACCAATCCGGTTACTTAATAAGCCCGTTGGCCACGCAATGTGGTATGGGCTGCAAACGACATATTTTTAACAAGCATAGCAGGTTCACGGTACAGGACAAACTGCATTGATTATGTCTTCTTGATATAACTAATAAAAGTAAAACTCAAGGCTTATTAGTTTTATCTATTATGGTGCTTGGTGTTGGCATATTCAATTCAACCCAATTTTTTTTTTAATATTAATATATTTTTTAAATCGGATTGACAACGTAGATTTCGAATAGATATTTTAAAACCCGTTTTACAAAGTTTTATTAAGGATATTAAAATTATCAACAAAACATTTTACTTGACAGTTTGGCCACATATTAAATAATATTTTAAAGAAATAAATTAAAGTAATAACAGATAATCTTTAAAAATACTTCTTACAATATTAAAGAAGGCAAATCCTAAATTATTTGTGGTACAAACGTTCAAAACTTGGATTGGATTTCTTAATTGGGTATTGACGTTTGGATCTCTATACACAAAGAGTCCATGTGCAGTTAGATTAATTATTAATAAAAGGGGGACTACCTTTTATTGTATACACTACATTACTATATTTGAAAAAACTCAAATATCAAATAAAAAAGTAATTAAAAGGAAAAATACAAACACAAATTCTCAAGGTTTTTTTTTAATTTTTGGTTCCCTCTAAACTTTTTAATATATTAGATCTATTTGTATACCTCTTAGATCTTGGTGGTTTACCTCTTTAAACTCGTGCATTACTATCAGTCTACCTCTTTATATTGATAGTCGCAACCAATTTACCTCTTTAAACTCTTGCATTACTATTAGTCTACCTCTTTGTATTAATAGTCGCAACCAATTCACCACTTTAAACTCGTGCATTACTATGAGTCTACCTCTTTATATTGATAGTCGCAACCAATTTACCTATTTAAACTCGTGTATCACTATCAGTCTACCTCTTTATCCTGATAATCGCAACCGGTTTATCCCTTTAAACTCGTGCATCACTATCAGTCTACATCTTTATCCTGATAATCGCAACCGGTTTATCTCTTTAAACTCGTATATCACCATCAGACTACCTCTTTATCTTGATAATCGCAACCGGTTTATCTCTTTAAACTCGTATATCACCATCAGACTACCTCTTTATCTTGATAATCGCAACCGGTTTATCTCTTTAAACTCGTATATCACCATCAGACTACCTCTTTATCCTGATAATCGCAACCGGTTTATCTCTTTAAACTCGTATATCACCATCAGACTACCTCTTTATCTTGATAATCGCAACCGGTTCACCTCTTTATTAAAATTGTTTTATCTTAAAAGTGGGAATAATGGAACTGATAACCTATATTACAATACCAGAAGTGTAGATAATTTGTTTTACAGGACCCCTAAAGTCAACAAAGAACTGTTCAAGCATTCGTATTTATTTTTGGGGCCTTTTGTTTTTAATATGTTGCCAATTGATATAAAAAGAAGTAACAATGTTAATAGTTTTTGTAAAAGGTTGAAGGAATGGTTATGTAATATAAATGATACTTCGTTGCTTCGTAATGTTTTATAATAAAATCTATGTTTTTCACATCGTTAAATTGTAGTACGTTTTTTATATATTTTGTGTTCATTATTTACATTTCAGGCAGTCAGATATGTATATTTTAATTTTTAGAAGTAGACTTATTTCAATATGTAACGCTACAGGTAGCAGCAGGAGTGATAATTTTAGTAATGGATTGATAAGACTGAACTCTTCATTTCATGTATAGATTAGATAAGTTTTGTGTACACTGGCCACAATTACTGGACAAAGTGGCCAGTTAATTTCCGAATTGTTTTATGATTTGATGATTGTTTGTTTTTGAGGAAATAAAATACATTATTATTCTTTATTCATTCTTTAAACTCGTATATCACCATCAGTCTACCTCTTTATCTTGATAATCGCAACCGGTTCACCTATTTAAACTCGTATATCACCATCAGTCTACCTCTTTATCTTGATAGTCGAAACAGGTTCACCTACTTAAACTCGTATATCACCATCAGTCTACCTCTTTATCCTGATGGTCGCAACCGGTTTACCTCTTTAAACTCGTATATCACTATCAGTCTGCCTCTTTATCTTGATAGTCGCAACTGGTTTACCTCTTTAAAATCGTGTATCACTATCAGTTTACTTCTTTATCTTGATAGTCGCAACCGGTTTACCAATTTAAACTTGTGCATCACTATCAGTCTACCTCTTTCATCTTGATAGGCGCAACCAGTTTACCTCTTTAAACTCGTATATCACCATCAATCTACACCTCTTTATCTTGATAGTCACAACCGGTTTACCTCTTTAAACTCGTATATCACTATCAGTCTGCCTCTTTATCTTGATAGTCGCAACCGGTTTACCAATTTAAACCCGTGCATCACTATTAGTTTAACCAATTTAAGTCACAACAGGTTCACGTCTTTAAACTCGTTCATCACTACCAGTTAACTTTTTGAATATTATTACAGGTTTAACCTCTTCATCCTTATACATCACTTTTAGTTTACCTCTTCAATTTTTACAGTCACAACAGGTTTACTTCTTTAATCTTGACAGTCACAACAGTTTGTTCCTCTTTATCCTCATACGCCACTCTCAGTTTACGTCTTTAATCTAAAGTCGCAATCGGTTACTTCTTTAACCATTCACTTCACTCAGCTAGACTAATTAACTGCATACATAGACTATTAGTACACCTTTTTACCGTTGCACATAAAATATCAGATTAGGTTGTACAATCAGCTTAATTTGTAGGTAAGTAGGTGCTAACACATGATGGGGGAGTTACTTACAAATATGGTGGATTTGCGGTTGAACACCTTTCTGAAAGCCATGGAGTGTCGGATAGCAAGGTATCTGTCGATACTCATAGCGGTGATGGTAAATACACTCGCACCAACACTCACGCCTACAAATAAAAACTTATTATATACAATTATAAAACTTTCTTGACTTCTTACACACACACACCCTTAAATTTTAACAACATAATGTAAAATAATACATGAGTGTTGAAAGTTCATACTGCTTCAGATCTGATTCGATTTACGTTTAAATCCACTACGATTGTTTGCCTCAATTCCCTTGAAGGAGATCAATTATTTATAATATGATCATTACATGGGAATGAAACTTTGATATAAAATTACACTTCAAACACAATTACTTCAATTTCTTATGACAAGGACTATCCTTTTCCTACAGTTACCTAACAATGTACATGTTCTCTCACTGATTTGAGAAAGCAAAGTGGCCAATTCGCTCATCAGTGAGACAATGTTAACATTGTCTCACTCTAATTACTTTGTCTCACTCCAGATTTGCAACGTGAAGGCACGAAATAGTGGGCGCGTAACATGCAGGCAACGTCGTATGCGCGCGAAATACGTTGGCAGCACTGGCTGTAAATCAGCTGGTCAACTGTTGTACTGTTGTATTTGTCACTTCACATTAAATGTTATATTAAAAGTTCACTTCTGTGTAAAAATAGGTTATGTTTCTTCACCAATTTATTTGTTTTATGGTAACTGTACTCACTGTAGGAAAAGTATAATGTGCAACTCGAGTTCAAAGTACAATTGCCTCACTCAAGAAACCATTCCTCACTCGCCTACGGCTCGTGAGTAAGGATTTCTCTCGAGTGAGTCAATTGCTCACTTTTCTCACTAGTTGCACAAATAACTATTTCCTACAGTTACCTAACAATGTACATGTTCTCTCACTGATTTGAGAAAGCAAAGTGGCCAATTCGCTCATCAGTGAGACAATGTTAACATTGTCTCACTCTAATTACTTTGTCTCACTCCAGATTTGCAACGTGAAGGCACGAAATAGTGGGCGCGTAACATGCAGGCAACGTCGTATGCGCGCGAAATACGTTGGCAGCACTGGCTGTAAATCGGCTGGTCAACTGTTGTACTGTTGTATTTGTCACTTCACATTAAATGTTATATTAAAAGTTCACTTCTGTGTAAAAATAGGTTATGTTTCTTCACCAATTTATTTGTTTTATGGTAACTGTACTAACTGTAGGAAAAGTATAATGTGCAACTCGAGTTCAAAGTACAATTGCCTTACTCAAGAAACCATTCCTCACTCGCCTACGGCTCGTGATTAAGGATTTCTCTCGAGTGAGTCAATTGCTCACTTTTCTCACTAGTTGCACAAATAACTATTGTTTGGGTCTTTTCAAGAAGAGGACTGCCACAGATAGTGCACTGCAGAGTTTTGGTTAGTTTAGGTTGTTTTAGGATAGGTTAGATTAGGTTGTTTTAGGTTAGGTTAGGTTAGGTTGGTTTAGTTTACATTATTACGATGACAAACAAGACACAATCTATTAAACACACGAATAGGACACGTACAAATGTAAGCTTTTGTACCGTCGCCTCTTTACACAACATGACCACTTTTTTGCAAATATTACATTTCTTATCATTATCATAAACTAAACTGAACTAAAAACTACTCAGGCTGTACCTACCTAACCTAACCTCCGCGCACTGTGAAAGATTAGCGGTCCTCTTCTAAGAAAAGACACCTTAGTTCTTGCACAGATAAGTAAGGTACAGAGGAAACATGCTTATGGGAAACCGTGCCCTTACAGCTCTGGTATGGAGCGGAAATATACTTGTGACGAGCAAGGAAGAAGCCTGCTTGCCTGCCGAGTCCGACCGGTGATCACTGTGAGGATATTCCTATAGCACAGTACACAGGGTGTTCCTCCATCGTGCGTTGTAGTGCACGAGAGTGAGGGGGGCGGTTCGATACTTTGCTCTAGACACCAGCGCTAGTGCTAGACACCACTTAAGTTTAAAGGAGTATATCCTCTGATCCTTACTTCTCTGTGGTTCTCGTTAAGAGTCCTTGGAGCCTAGACGTTCTTAACTCATAAAACTACAAAGAAAATTTCTGACCTCACAGTCTCCTAGATAGTTAAATTATAATCACTTTGGTGTTTGAAAAACTATTTTTGGGTGATAATTTAATCTTCAGCAGCTTTTACATTTAGTTAGTCATGCACTAAAATCGTTTAGTAATATTATTAATCGATTCACCTTGTAAGTATGACGTCAGCTTGCACATAGTCTCCCCATAGAGCCAAAGTCCCGTGACGGACTGAGCCACAGCCATCGGCATACAAATAAACGTCACCAGAAGATCTGCTACTGACAGGTTCACCAAGAAGTAGTTGGTCACACTGTAAGTAGAACAAAGATATTTCAAGTTTGTTCCAAGGAAGATAAGGTGTGTTTACAAGACATCAGTACTACATTGAAAATTTTTTCTATCCTAAGACGCTAGGCACGAGTCTGGGTTTTTCACATTACTTCAGGCTAGACCTAGGGGTGGATAAAATACATTGGTGATTTGGTGGGATTTGAACGCAGGACCTTAGAGACCGAAGTCCCGCACTCAAGCCAATAGACCAGCTCACTCCCTCACTACGTTTACTAATAAATATTATCAGATGATTCAATGCATTGCCTCTGTTATCGCTGTGTAATAAAGCTACGTACAATATAGTTACACAATAAAAGTAGTCCCACTCATCGTCATTTCAGTTGAAAGTATTAAGTAAGTATTACATTATTGCATCATCGTTTTGCTTTTAACAAGCTTCACCTTCAGATACGCTATTCTAACTAATCTCAACGTAATTCAGAATATTGCGACATAATCTGCTTATACAGTTTGTTAGCCTTTGTGCAATCGTCCAATGCTCACACGATATTAAAAAGCCAGCGTCTATTAGAAACACGGTGTCTTATTTCCCTTGCCCAGTTTCGTGATATCTAAGTATCAAAACAACTCGTACCGTTCCTTTATGTTGTATCATTTGCTTTCATGAATACTAGGGGAAACCCGTCGAAATCGACGGTTACTATTGAGAGTTTATAGCTTACTTCAGCTAACTGCGGTGATAGAGTGAAAATCTTATTTAAATTAAGGGAGGATTAGCATACAGTAATAATGAATATGAGATTGCGTAACTACCTTCAAAAACGTGGTTGGCTTTATGTTGCCCAAAAGGTTTTTTAGGAGTGTTATAATAATTGATTCTTGTTCAAGTTTTGTATTCACAATCAAACTTTACCAGTTAATCTCGCATTGATCAAACAAAGCATTGGATTGGATCTCTTCACAAACATGTAAACTTCCCTAGTTTATTCTAGAATTTTGTCTGATGATGCTTGATTGTACAGAATCATTATGCAAACATGTATGTATATTGTAAACATAATCATTATGGATAGATAATAAATGTATGTATATTGTAAACAGAATCATTATGGATAGCTAATAAATGTATGCATATTGTTAACATAATAATTATGGATAGCTAATAAATGTATGTATATTGTAAACAGAATCATTATGGATAGCTAATAAATGTATGTATATTGTAAACAGAATCATTATGGATAGCTAATAAATGTATGCATATTGTTAACATAATCATTATGGATAGCTAATAAATGTATGTATATTGTAAACAGAATCATTATGGATAGCTAATAAATGTATGTATATTGTAAACAGAATCATTATGGATAGCTAATAAATGTATGTATATTGTAATCAGAATCATTATGGATAGCTAATAAATGTATGTATATTGTAAACAGAATCATTATGGATAGCTAATAAATGTATGTATATTGTAATGAGAATCATTATTGATAGCTAATAAATGTATGCATATTGTAAACATAATCATTATGGATAGCTAATAAATGTATGCATGTTGTAATGAGAATCATTATGGATAGCTAATAAATGTATGCATGTTGTAATGAGAATCATTATGGATAGCTAATAAATGTATGTATAATGTAAACAGAATCATTATGGATAGCTAATAAATGTATTAATATTGTAAACAGAATCATTATGGATAGCTAATAAATGTATGTATATTGTAAATAGAATCATTATGGATAGCTAATAAATGTATTAATATTGTAAACAGAATCATTATGGATAGCTAATAAATGGCATTACCTGTTCATAGCGGCACTTGATTACAGTTAGCAATGCATTTAGTAAAGTGGCATCTACCTGCGCATATAGTGGTACTTGAAGACGACGATGATGATAAGAGAGTTAGCAGCAGCAGCTATCAGGAAGAGCGGCAGATAGCAGGATATCAGCACGATGTGGCGAGGTTCGGTGTACCTCAGCTGAGATTTGCTGAACTCCCTTATCAGCTGATCGATCAGCTGGTTGGTTGTCTCATTGTCACCCAGCTGGTAAATGTCTTCTTGATCGCTGCAGTTCATCTTGGTTGACGTCACTTCTTGATTTCCGACATGTTTTTTCTCCTGAATTAATAACATTGGTTGGTTTATAGTAACTTATATTTAAGTCTAATTTCTAGCTTTGGAACCAACTACTGTGCAACATTTTCCATAGTTCAAATTGTTTTTAGAAGTGGCCTAGAATGACCAATTGTAAACTATTGCGCATTTCAAATAATTCTCGCTTGACTTTGGTAAATGTAACTTGGAAGGTGTAATAATTTTAGACACAGTTTTGTGCTTACACGTTTAATAATTTGGATGTATTTTGTATATAAAGTAGTAAACATACGATGGCGTAAAACTATCCAAACAGCTCATAGATGCCATATCGATTTTGCTGGTTCGAAAACTCATTCGAGTGTATAAAAAAAAATAAAATAGACTGGGACGGTGGCGACGTCCTGTAATCCAGCTACTAGAAGGTCACGAATTGTGGATATTTACAGGCATGCACTGTGGATACGATACTCCCTGGTGTGGATTAACGTCCGCACTAGTGAGTACTACGACTGTCGGCAGTATTATCCTGATAGTTAGACCGATTCGTTAATACCAAGGAAAAAATGTGGTTCAGATTCAACTATAAACTGTAGGTCCTTAAGTTGCCATTAGCTGTATGGGCTATTAACAGCTGTGTCTAAGGAATATGTCGGCCTTAGTCACTAACAAGACTACAACATCCTGCCACTCATCCTACCCTCATCTCCATTCATACTTGGCTCAAAATACCTAATTTGTATGGTCCATTTCATTGAAAAGTATTAAAATATCAAAACTTCTTTGAGTAATCGTGTTTCCTAATTTTTTTAACTAATATTGTTTTTTTACTCTGCGGACGTCACTATATAAAAGTAATTTGGTCCCTGGTCTAGATCCTACCACTAGATCAAACGTAATAGTGAGCTACTTGCCTATAGGTAAATCCGTTAAAACAAAATATATTTTTATAAAAGCGGGTGTTCTTACTGGTTAAACTAGATCATATTCCCTGTTGACATTTGAGTGCAATTTTAAGACTGGTTTTAAAATTTAAACGCAATCTCTAAAACCTATCTGCAGAGAAGTAGGTATTGTCTAAATTGTCCATATTATTTGCCAGCTGGAAACAGAATCTGTCTGTAAAAATGAGTTGAATTGGAACTGAAATAGACGCGCTGAAGAATATAACACAACCTCTCTGTTCTACGGACACCCAATCAAAAGTGTTAGCTGTGTCAGTTGGAGCGGGCTAATTGTATATCGATTCCATTGCGCAATAAGTTGAGCCTGAAGATCTTTACGCTCAGACAGTTCTTGAGTGGCAGGAAAAATGTAATATCCTGCCAAAGAGTTGCAATAGTTTACACGATAGCAGAGTAATGTTTAGTAAAAATTATTTGGTTTAAATTTTGATTTCGAACCTTAGGTAAGTGATGTATTATTAATTCATTGTCCGTGGTGATCATAAATTAATTAATTACGTCTTTATTATGGATAACATTTTCTATATACATTCCACACCACTTGACCACTTACAGTAAAGTTAGGATGAAAAACAAATTTCTTTGGTGTAGCCTATAAACTAATTTATAATTAAATTAGTTTTACATAAAGGTAATGCAATCTACTGACTAAGTTCAATTTTAAATGAAACCGTGTACACAAACTTTCAACAATTCATTAAGACTGCTTCTAAAGAATAGATTAAGATTTATAATATCTTTAACTAAAGGTTTATAAATCTACAATAATTAAGGTAACCCATAAATGTACCGAGTGTGGTCGTTCCCGTGCGAGACGAAGTCGAGTACGGGATTACCATACGAGTCCGGTACACACATTTTGGACGAGTGACGTACGATAGTTGACGCCATACTAATAAATCTGTACATATCCTTATATATTTCCACCAACTAAAGGACTAAAAATCACTAGTCATAACCTCTAAGAGAGGTTATGTTTTTGTTTATAACAATCCACTGCCACCTAAATGTAGTATAATCCGGTAAAACTCATTAAAGTACAGTAGTACGCAATGACACCCCATTTGAATAAGCTGGCGGCAAACAGCTGTTTTCTGGACTAAATCCTTGCGTGGGAAGTTCGTCAAAATAATGTAGTGTGGCGTAATAGTATATTACGTTACTAGTCCTGAAAATAAGTTTTTACCGGACGAGTGTGGTTGTTCCCGTGCGAGACGAAGTCGGGTACGGTATTACCATACGAGTCCGGTACACACATTTTGGACGAGTTACGTACGATAGTTTACGCCATACTACTAAATCTGTACAAATCCTTATATATTCCACCAATTAAAGGACTAAAAATCACTAGTCATAAAAACCCCATTTGAATAAGCTGGTGGCAAACAGCTGTATTCTGGACTAAATCCTTGCGTGAGAAGTTCGTCAAAATAATGTAGTGTGGCGTAAAAAATATTTTAACCTTTTATGGTCTTTAATACTATATTTTAAATCAGTATTAACTGTTATCATTGACTATATATACCTATAGTCAGGTATATATACCTATATACCTGTAGGTAGATATAGTCAATGCTGTTATGTAATAGCAGATATATTCCAAACAGACTATTTTTAAGAAACATTAACCTATAAATAGCTAATTAATAGATAAATTTCACCAACGCTGTACTTTGGTAAAATTTAATTATTCTTTGTACTATAAAATTTATGTTCCAATAAGCAATGGCAATTTTATTTAAATAAAATAATTTAAATAATTCATATAAAGTATTAAAGTATTTAGGTATTCATTCATTTCTAAGATGAGCGAGTTCGGCTATCGATTCACCAAACGATCCATTAATTTATTCTCGCGAATTCCGCATTATTTCACTCAAACCACGAATAGCAGAAAAGAAACGGTATGGATAATAAACATAAACAAATGACGTCACTGACCCGCATGTCTACACTAGCCGTAACTGCTGGTTTGGTTGTTTTATGACAGCTCTATTTAAACAACAATGTTTCGGGCCAGTACGTTATTTGTTTATGTTTACGATTCTTACCATTTCTGTTCTTATATTCGTGGCTCAAACTATTTTGGACGACGAAGTTCGTCGTTAAAACTAAAATTAGAAAATATATTACAGTTCCGGGGCTACAACAATGAATTTTACAATTAGAACATCAAACAAGTACTGAATTACACCTGTTTTGTGTTAAATTGGTAAGTTTCTTAACTGTAACATTGACTATCTTATTTAGATAGTAATAAACGAATTATAAACAAACTTGCTGCTCTCATTAAACTTATTGGACTAAGGTTTGTTTTTTCCGCCAGACAAGTCAAACAACAAACGTTCACGGCTCATAGCCTTGTTTGTTTACTTGCTACAGCAAACACAACTGTTTGCCAGGGCTGTCCTGAAATTTGCTTGACATTTCATTGTAATTAACACAGATATAAATCAAAGTGTTTATTTTCAAGTTAAAAATAAGCGTTTGAATCTCAGTCGTTGATTTAAAAAAAAGTAAAAGGGTCCAATTAAAATTATCGACTGATTACAAACTAAACACGGCCCTTTGAACATTTTGGTGAAAATAATGTTCACCTCACACCTGGTTACACGATAACCTAGTTTATTACTATTTTTAGATTTCTTAGGAACTTATGAACAATGATTTCATATGTCAGGCTATACATATAGCCTATGTAATTACGATAAATATTTTTAAACTTTAACCGTATACTAGCACGAAACCCGTCGTTGCCTGGGTCAAAATGCAATGCACAAAAATGGCTATAAAAACTCATATGAAATCAACAATTGCATCTAAGTGTCTGTTATAGCTCAGTTCATATTAGCATAATTTATTTGACTTCCCCTTTCATACAACACCCACTGGCATGTTAATCTTCAAAATTTATATGCCTTTTAAATTTACATTCTGTATACTTAGATGTTCATAGTATTTTTATTTACATAATAACGAAACGATAGAAGCTCTTACCATTCGTTTATAAAGCGTTGTTAGCCTACTATGGCTGAAATCTAAAAAAAAAAAAACTGAAATATTATAGAACGATTTTGAACATTTTCACACACGGATATTCAGCAAAATCTCGAACAACCACAACCTTTTTTTGATAAAACATTTCACTATTGTTATTTGGGACACCAATGTTATCAAAGTAAATGAAACATCAACAAACAACACATACGATCAGCTGGTTCATAGTGTTATATTACAACTAATAATAAACGTCATTATAAACATTAAGAAACATGGTGGAAAGACCACCATGATTAAGAGAAACGACGACTACACACTTACCATCGATTAAAGAAACAAACATTTAACATTGATTTTAAAAATAAATTGCAACCGTGTTCAACTTCGGCTTACAGTACTGTATTCTCTTTGGTATTCAATGGACCTATGTAGCAAAACAATACTACTTATGATTATAGTTTCAAAAACTACGAATGGCACACTTGGAAATCCTAAAAGGGGCGATGAGGGATAATGCAAAGTACGTTAATGTATTGAAATTAAAAACTCAGTGATTTCTTTAATAATTAATTAAACAAATAATGATTGGTGGTGTTATTTGTTCTATGGTATGATGACACATGAACAACATAGCGCAATATTTACGATCGGAATATATCCACGTTCATAAAATCTGTTGTCGATATTTTTATCGTCAAATTTACTGATTCTAAAACGAATTATTGATACAGGTACCAAATCATAAATTTACTTAATTTCCATCCCAAAATAAATGTTTTTAGACCCTTAACAGAATTAATCATATGTAAAGTAATGTATGCAAACTATTTCAACCCAATTGAATAGATTAAATATTTATTCTAAGAAAGAAAAGAAGCGAATCGAAGTGTGTGTTCCAGTTCACATTGGATTAATGAATAAAAGTATTTTCGATGATTAATTTTCCATAGTGGTGACAATCTATCGTAACTATTATACACTATCAAAGCATACACTTACTTAACATTAATAGTTTTAAAATATATTTTACTGTATGATACCACAAAAACTCTATTTAAGTCTAGAGAATTACAGCTTATTCACACATTAAATTCAAAGTTTTGTAGTCATATTGTGATTATTATTTGAACTTAAAATTTATGTTATCACAGAAAATATTACTTTTGAAATTCACAGATAAAACAATAACAAAGCAATGAGTTTCATGAAATCTTTTGTATTCAATACATATTCTATTTTTTATCATCCACTGGGTCTAACCACAAAACACCCATAAATTTATAGATAAAAGAATTCACCTACTTAAAGAAGATACGGGGTGAATTTAAAATGCTACAAATTGTTTGCTATCGGGTATATTTATCTTTTTCTTGAACCCAAGATAAGACTTTTTAATTTTCGACAACTGCCTAATTGCTAATTCCTGTTTTAACTTACATTTGCGATTTGGCCGAGACCTTACGAGCGGCGTAGAAACGAACTTACAAAACGGAAACCAGAAGGAAACTGAGCGTCGAGATCGTGTGAAACTCCAGGCGCCGGCGTCACACACACAAACACGCACCTACTCACACACACGCACGCAAATCGGACATACGCTCCTGGACCAATTAACTTCAAATGTTTAACGAAATAGAATTATCATCAGTTTAGATGGGGACGCCAGGTGCGTTGTAAACCCAAATAAATATGAGTGAAGGATGAGTGTAGAATGTGAGATGATCTGTTACTGACTAGATCAGCTGTTTCATTAGCCAGGATCATTTATTTGAGCCCAATAATCAGGAACAGCTGGGTCGAGTTTCAAGTAATAAAAAAGCATAGCGAGATCGATGCGGCAACCTTTTGATTGCTAGGCAAGCCCTATAACCACGTAGCTGCCCAGCCGGTTGTAGCAAAATTCCAAGGTCTTTTGTAAAAAAATTCAAAGCTAAGTATGCATTTTTTAAACTTACACGGTTTTTTTTTTCAAAATAGAACTATAAACAAGCGAATTACAACAGTTGTTTTTCCTCCATAAGAATTTTTTTAACTTATAGTTTCTTTATATTTTCTTTGTAGCCAATAAGCGTACGGAAACAATTCAATATACTAAATTATTCGTTTTAAGCTACACAAAATAGTTTACAAAGAAATATCAAAACTTTTTGTTAGGGGGGGGGGTCAAAATGGGAAAACCAAATGTTTACTCCATAAAACCCCTATAAACCCCCTTTAAACCGATCATGCTGGTTCGTGAACTTGTTCGGATAAACGTAGGTTTGCACGTTTGTACCAAATTTAATCAAATCAGGATGGATCTGCTCAACTTATCGAGCTAACGGACACATTATAAATATATATTTATATTATGTGAATTGGACGAATGGTGTTTCCGCCTCTGGGGACATAAAAACAAATCACTAAATTGGAACCCACTTATTAGACCTACGGTAATAACTTATTGATATTGGTTTATTTGTGATATTGGAAATTCACTGAACATTTTGAAGGTAACAAAAATAATTTCATAAATTGTTTCAACAGTGGAAGAGGACTAAAAGAGATTTCAAAGAGTTGAGTGATGCGTGGTCTCAAACTCTTAAGATGATGACACTCAGTGATAAGTTCAGCTAGGTTTTTATGAAAACTGGAAGCTGCTGGTTGAGTCAGATTTAAAAATTGTTTTTTTGTTTGCATCATAAATTGTGTTTTTCTTCTAACATTTACTTATTTTGTTTTTGTTACTCGTCCTATGTCCAACAAGTTTGATATTTTATTTAATAGCATCCGTACAAAAACACACTTAGGTTTTCTTTATATTTCATGTACATTTTCTATTTTCCTTACTTTCCTTGTGACCTTAATTAGGCCAGTATTATCTTTTGGTAACGATAAAATAAAACAATAAACAATCCTGTAGATGTTTAACTTCAATCCTTAATTATTTGCATAACTTGAGAAAACATTAGACAAGTCGAAAATATATCACACATAATTAAGATTTGAGATAAAGCCAGGATTTATGTTTATATTTTTTTAATTAATTGTTAATCCTCCAATAACCTAAATTTATGTATTCCTACTCCTCCTAAACCAATGTAATCTTCCATTGACAAAGTATTAGCAAACTTGGTGATGAATCAAAGGAATTAAAAATAAATGTTGATGGTTGATGGTCAGATGAGAAAAAGGGGCCGTATTACTTCCTCCATAAAATGAAATATCCTCTCTTGGAACTCTAACATAACTCTTTTCATTTGCGAAAAAGGACATGTACGATATTCGTGATAAACATAAACATTGAAGTACAGTTTAGTGCTTTAAAAGCCACATGTACTTCGCACGGATGTTAACTGTTTCCAATAATCAAGGAAATTGACATTCCGCACTCGCTGCCAAGAAGTGAATTTTGCCACCTGCAACAAGCTACTCAAAATAGACCGTTGGGAATGACCGTGTGTTAGTAAATTAGTTGGTAGATAAAATGTTTGGTATCTTGACTTCAAATATTTACGAGGTTTAGTAAATTATGTTAATTTAATTTTCTTCTTATCCAAACAATAATTAAACACTTTTTATGTTACCTATTTTAAGAAGTAAGCCTTAACAACCTATTTAATTTATACAACTATTTATTCAGCAGGATAACGTTTTGTACAAATTATACATGGGTTATACTAGCACTGCAATATAAGGTATATTATTCATCAAAAATGAACGCGTAAATAAAGTCTGTAGTAAACGAGGATTAGACGAACACTAAAAATCATTGAAAGTAAATAATATAATCTTTTAGAAAGGGAAAACGACGATGAAAACATACTGTTTCTCCAATGAATATGAAAATCCGGATAAATATTTACATACTTTGTCTCGCGGCGTGTTTTTGAATTTAAACAATCTCCATCGTTTGGTTTGCCGCGGGCTGTTTTTAGTGGGAACGAAGTGTAAAGCTAATCTCAAGAAGTGTTATGTTTCCATTAAGGCGTTTTATTAGACAGGTTTTCCTTGGACAGTTTTTAAATATTCTTTGTGATTTCTGTTTACTAAAAGGCTATCCACATTATAAAACGTTTTCATCGAAAATGTAAGCAAAAGAATAAAAACACCTGTTTGGAATAAAATCCATGTGTAGCTTTGTAGCACAGCTGTTTTTAGCTATGAAGCTAAACTCACAACTGCAATTTTGTTTGTAATGTTTATGGTATTTCACAATGATGTAATATACTTCTGTATTGTTGACAATTGCATTTTTAACAATATAAAATTACATACAAACGTTTGAGAAATTACTTTGAACAAAGGGAGCCTTGAAATAGATTTAAGAAGAATAATTATGATGTTAAAATTCAAAGGGAATAGTTGTCTATACTTTGCCATTAATAGCATTGTAAAAATGTCTTGTATGCACATGGTTGTAAAAGAATGATGTAATATTCAGCACGATTTTATTTATAACTTTTTTATGGAGAAGAATTAAAAATAATGAACTGAACAAGCCAACTGCTATGGTAAACCGTTTTAAGATATTACAAACAGACTGAAAACTTTTGGATGAATACTAAAAAGCAACAATGCTAACCATAGATTGCCTTGGGTTTTACAAAAATCATACTTATTTGTTTAATAATATAACTTTTAAATTTAAATTCTACTCCTAAAGAAGCACTATGTTGATTAAATTATATTGGCTCAGAATACTACTCCATACAGCTGGGAAATCTCACAGCCCCTCTCTACCTGAATATATCATAACGATACAAAGGTCAACCCAAAATAACTCCTTTGAGAAATGCATTGTGAATACAATCTTCATCAAGTGAATATTACTGAATGTATTACACGAATATATAATTTATTATTGTAAATTAGTTTGATTAATAAATAGCTCAACATTCTTAACTAGCTAAACATTAAGGTACATACCTTTACGTCCACAGTTCAAATATGTATGGTTAAACCCACTACATGTTTCGAGAGAGAGAGAGGCTTAACTAGCTCATAACTAAGGTTCTTAATAATTTGTTTGATGTCCCGACAACTAAAGTTATCTTTGTTTAGACGTTAAACATACATTTAGTTGTCTTCTTGTTTCGACAGTCAAAGGTTCATAGTAATTAACTGTGAATAAATGGGTGGTATGCTTAAAGATGACATGCAACGCAAAATCCCATTAAATTGGTGGAATTTACAACTTCAAAACACGTATAAAAAACCAAACGCATACAGAGTGTACAATAAAAGTGGGGACATAATTTATGTAGTGATTCCTTGGATAAAACTATAGTGAAAATCGAGAATAAACGTTTCCCAAAATCGCTTCGTTAACCAGATATCCATCATTTTGTATTTTTTGCTTGAAAATTTATATATTTGGATTGTTTCAACCGATCTTTAAATAGGTAGGTCAGACCCCATATTAGTAAAAAGTTATCTTGATTCAAAATAAAATTTAAATCAGTGGCCATTAAAACTTTTTAACTTAAACTACTAAAATGTGGCTGATTTTATAAAAAAAAATGTCAAGAAAGTTAAAAGAGCTAGTAAAAAATGACTGAAATATCATCGATTTTTGTTGTAAAATGAGGCACACCTGGCTAGCTAAGCCATATTAATTCTACTTCGTTTTACAACTAAAAATCTTAATATTTCAGTAATTTTTTATTTGATCTTTGTGAACTTGGTGTCGTTAATTAGGGAACTTAAATACTAAATAAAAGTGTTCTTGAAATATGGTCATAAATTCAGCCATTATTAAGTAATTTAAATATAAAAAAAACTAACCCTTAACCTCGCATTAATCTACCCAATATTTAGTGTTGCCTGACATAAACTCTTGAATGAAATAGTGTTATTACCAGAAAGTCAAATATTTCCACACGCTCTTGATCTTGGGAAGTAAACATAAACATATTTACTGCCAAAACACATTTCACCGACGGTCGGAGCCTATTAAAACACGATCTAATGCGTACATTGAAGCAACACTGTTACATTTTGCTAAGAATCTTAAAAATGTTAATATTCTATAGATTCTAAATATACATGGTGATTGATATAAGTGTGCCAGCTGTTTTATTCGAAAGTTATAAGAGATATAAACGATGTTAAATTGTAAATTTTTTACTGCCTTAAATTTTTTTAATGTTGGTCAAGTTGAAACAATAACTTTAGCCACCATTTTTCTAATATGGCCGCCAACTTTGATTTTTCTAATCGAAGACCCTATATTTTATGATTGTAAAAGTAAATTAATTTAAAAAAAAGTTTTTGTTCTTGGCAATTTTCTCTGACACCCCTATGACCAGAACGACTGAACATATGGCATTTAAAATTAATTAATTGATAAAATGTCTATAGGAAAGACCTATGTTAGAAACAAGCATATTTTCGAATTTTATTCATTAAATGAACAATTATTGGCTAGATGCTCGGAAAAAAATCAAAACTATTCAAAAGTCCAACTTTCCAACGCTCTCACACCTTAATAATTTAGATGTACATTT